TATATATAATGTGTTAAAGTTTATATAGAAGTAAAGCTTAATTTATTAAAGTATCTGAACAAAAGTTGTGCAAAGGTGTTAAAAAGTGGCCAATTTTATGAAAATTTGTGTTAGCCACACAAAGATAGATATTTAAGAAAAAATAAAGTAAAAAGAATTTAAATACACTGCTCAAAAAAATAAAGGGAACACTTAAACAACACACGCTAAGTCCAAGTAAATCTAACTTTTGTGAAGCACATTCAACTCTGTACAGAACAAAGTACTCAATGTGAATATTTCATTGATTAAGATCCTGGAGTTAGCGTGTGTTGTTTAAGTGTTCCCTTTATTTTTTTGAGCAGTGTACATAAACGCAGTGCCGTCAGATATGAAAGTTTAGTCATTGTTTGCATGGAAAAGAAAAAGGAAACCACAGCTGCTAATCCAGCACATGAAGAAAAAAAGAGGTAGAGGTGCTTTTGTGTGACTCAGTTTTGTTGCCCGTTTATTTTGGTTCTTTATGTTCTGAGCAGGTACAAACCAAGATCTCTTCATTATCACCCTGTAATTATTACAGGGTATTACAGTGTAATGCCACTGCAAGTTTTCTCTCATGTCTCCTACTGGATCAGATATATGTCCAAATTCTGCTTCTTTCCAAAAATACTTTTTCTTTGATTCTGTGACAGAAACCATTTCCAGACTTATAAGTTCTCAGCATATTTATTGCACAACGTTCCCAGAAAATAGGGAGAAAAAAATAATTCAAGGTGCGACTTCTTGTAAAAGACATTCTGTACAAACAACATGGAAATAAATTGAGAATGTACAGTTTACACAAACCGTTACACTTATGAGCAACTAAATAATTTATTCATATACAAAGAGGGAAAAAAGCAGATTCATATATATAAATCAATAACAGCTTTCATATACAAAAATGTAGCAGGGCATCTATAATACACATAAGGATGCATTTCTTAAATTTATGAACAAAATGAGAAAAGGAAAAAAAAACTTTCATGCATTTTCTCCATTAAGACTTGGGTCATTGACAGGGTACGGTATAGAGATAGATTAACTAAAACTGCCCACTTGTTGGGGTTATTGTGACAGTTTTATTGAATTCGTACACACAATAAAGGCTTTTAAAGTAAAAAAATAATAATGTGGATTTGTCATGATTAAAATGGTTGCAGCCCTAACAACAAGAATACATTTGCTTACTTTAAAAGCATAGCATGATAACTCTTTGTGTATGAGTGCATCAAAAACAATGTTTTTCTCTATTGTGACTTTATTCTTAAATAAACCTATTTACAAAAATAATAGTAGTARTAATAATAATAATTATAACCTAAACAAAACATGAGAATAAAATTAGGCCCAATTTCCTGCAGGAAAACTTTACTTTTTGTCCAAAAACATGCTGTAAGAGTAACTAATCGTCCAGCTCCAGGAAATGTACCAGTTTACATGGAGGTGGTCAAAAATCTGCCAATCTGTAGACAAAAATAAAATAATAAATGGCCTAATGTTTTATGTTTAATCTGTAGGACTGTCATCCCAACAAACCTGAATAGTGTTAACCTGTACACATTCACAGAAAGGCCTACTGCCCCTCTAGTCTTCGTTCTGTTCCAAACACTGAAGCCGTAAACATCATATAAAGGTGACAGTGATATATAAAAATGAGAAAATACTTCAGCATTCTGGTTGCAAAATACATAGATAATGTAGGTTTGAACTTTTCTACAGTATAAAGGGAGATCTCTCTGTCACAACGTGATGCAAAAATATGTATTTCTTCCATTAAAAAAATCTTAACAGCCTTTCCTTTTTTTCCTCAAAAAACACAGCATAAAGTCGACAGAGTTGACATTCCTTTGATTAAAATTTCTTTCTAAATCTACCTTATGGTTTTCTATTGGACAGCCAAGTCTTCCAACATCCATATGAAGATTTGAGGTAGTGCTGTACCTATGATAATAACGCCAAAGCCACTTCGAGCTATTTCAAATAGAGGTCGTAGGACTGAAAATGAAGGTGTCGAAATGCCAAAATAAAAGTCTTAAGTCATGTGAAAACCTCATTTAGCCAAACAACTAAATTGTTGAGATATAAAGGAAATCTGATCTGTAAACAAGCATATAAAGTTAAAAAACTGACATAATTGGCATAGGATTATTAAAATACAGGAATATAGAACTCAGCATTAAAAAACAAACAAACATGGAGTCCTTCATATTGCCAGGTTTAAGATTGTACAGGGAAAAAAATTAATTTGCAGTTGAAGAATTAAATCAATGGTTTCCACATTGGAGGTATTATCAAAATGAAATCCCATCTGGATGAATTTTAAGTCTTTGGCTTTTGTTTCCAAAAATAAGAGTTTTGCTTTAATAGGAACATTCAGATTTTAATCACTGACACTTCAGTCGGCTGCTGAGTCTTGCTCCATGCTTTGTCTCTACCGCCACCTGGTGGTGAAACATCCACAACGCCCCAAAGTCTGAGACCAGTGTTCGTGAAGATGAGTAATGCTCAGGCTCAGGGTAAACTTCCTTCCATAAAACCATGTAAGGGGGACAGCTGTGCAGCATGGACGGCTGTTTTTGGGGACCAGAGAGGCCCCTCCTGGACCTGACTGGTCTCCTTGCTGTGTTTAGACCTGAGCTCTGGTGCAGCTTCATAGTAAGATCTGAGCCACATAGGGGGAGTGAGTGCTGGCCACTGCAGCCAACAGGGGCAGGTCACTGGACTCGATTCTGCAAATACAAAAGTGCAAACATCAAAGTTTTGAATCAGTAACCGACTATTAGCTTGACTATTAGTTTCTTGTGGATTATCAACACTTTGCATCCTTAAAAAGTGAACTGCTTACCCCAAGACCATGCTCAGTTCTTTCACATGGACCCTCGTCTGGCCCTTCAGATACTCAGCAAGCATTTTACTCTTAAAGTAGATCTCCTGCAGTCGGTCCTCAAGGTGCATTATACACTAATAAGGCACGAGCAGAAGTATATGGTTTGATTTTAAAGCTTACGGACACATTAACTACAAAGGTTTAGATAAAGTGGAAAGACTGAGAAATCTGACTTACAAAGTTGGGTGAGAGGCTGAGTTTGTAAAGTTGGTATGTGGACTGTAATAAGTTGGAGACCAGGTTGGACACCAAAACTTCTTTCCCCAGCCTGTTGACTTCTGTGGCTCGTCTCTGACTGCTGGCCACCTGCACTGTCCACTTATCTGTGTCTGCTATAATGCAGACGGCCTCAGCTATGGGCTCATCCAATACAGGATGCTGTGGAGAGAAAATATGGAAAATTAAACAAGTGGACACACAAACAGAAAATAACTCTTCTCTGTGTCTTGAAATCTCTTCAAAAGACAGAACTGATAGTGTTTCAGCATTTATTAAAGTCATCAAAATTTTTCATTTATTTGTGCAAAAATGCTGACACTTTCCCATTTGAAAACATTAGAAATTTTCATATAAATAAAAATCTTTAATTTGGTTTGTATTAGCAATCCAACAAACACTGTATATGCTTTATATTCTTTACCTGAACAGCATGGGATAATTCGGTCATGAGACTTTGCCGTAGCTTCTCATCACAGGGGATTCCATGCAGTACAAAATCAGGAACATAGGTGGGGCAGTAGCCTCCAAACAGAGACAGGCCAAAGTTGGCAATGCTTGGTTTCGAGTAGTTTTCCACTAACTTTGCTCTGCAGATCATGACATAAGAGATTGTTCATTTTTAAAATGCTATATCATTACATTTAATTCAAAGTTTAAAAGCAGCAAGTCAGAAAGGAAGTGTGTCCGTGAAGCACCGACTCACCCGGGGAAGGGCACCAGCACTTCCTCTTGCCAGTCCTCCGTCTCCTCGCTCTCACTGTCTCCCAATGCGCTGTCCGAGCTCTCATTTCGTGGTATTTCCCAGTCATTGAGGGGAGCCACCTTTTGGTCCTTGATGCAGCCTCCATCCTGAGGGACGGGGACAGTCAACACAATGTCCTTGTCCAGCTCAGCGGAGCGGCTCCTGCAGCAGACGTCAGAGGAGTCAGTAGAACCACACCTGCACCTCCTCCGAACATCAGATAAAGTGGTTCCTTTCTTGCTGGACTCCACCTCTCCAATATTCGAACCTGAACAGATGCTTAAACCCTGACCACTGCCTGCATTTTGACAGCTGTGGTCCCTCGGGTTATGAAGCCGAGGGATCTCCAACGGGTTTAGTAAATGTTTGTGCGTATTGTCTGTGCTGGTGGCCTCCTGTTTGGCGACATCGTCTATAGTCCTAATCTCCACAGGGTTCTCTGGGCTAAAATACTCATCAAAATCGTCTCTATAGTTCAGGCTCCACTGGGACATTGTGGTGGACACCCTCTGCAGAGCTGGAGTTGCCTTGGTCGGTTTTGTTTGGTCCTCTGATGCCCTGGTGTTGCTGGTCTTTGAATGTGCTCCTCTCTGAATATTRTATTGTTGCTCTTGATGATCCTGTTGTTGATGATGATGATGAAGGGGCTGCAGGTGAGGGAGCTGGTTTTCATTGAGGAGTTTCTTGTGCTTTTTTATTTCCACTCCCATTTTCCTTTGTCGGCTCTCTGTGTCAGATTCTGGAGACATAGAATCACCAATGAGGAAGGTGACTTTTGTTGATGGCTCTTCTTCCTTATTGGAAGGCCGAGCCATGGGTCCTGGCATTGGGTTTCCAGGTATTACCGGTATCGGTACTGCTCCGACCAGGTTCTTATCTGGGGGTTTCTTCTCCAAAGCCCAAAGAGCTGGCACTTTTCTGGGCAGCCCCCCCTCTTCTGAATCCAACCTAGTCTCAAAGCTTGTACTGTTTATGGTGGCAGAAGAGTTGGGTGGACTTGATGAAAGAACTGTGTGAGTCGATGGAGCAACAAGTTCCATGTCTCCTTTTGTCTCCGCGTCCAGCACATGGCCCTGATCTCGGGGACAGGCCGAGCTGACCTGCAGCACCGTTTCCACTCGCACCTCGGAGGCCAACGGGCTGCTGGACTCCCTTTTTAGTTCCCCAGGTGCTAAAGTCTGCAGTTCAGCCTCTGCAGTCCTGATAATAGAAGCTGTGTCCTCAKTGGGCATTGACTGAAGCACACTACTCCTGGATCCTTGACTGTTGTTGCTGTGCTCCTCGTAGTCTTCATCGTCATTTTTCTCTCTAGGCATCTCCCTGGAGCTGTGCTCCACCTCAGTGTCCGTGTATGTGCTGCTCTGGAGGCTGTTGTCAGAACGGTAGCTGCTGTCTTCAGCCTCCATCTGCTGGCTGTGGTTCCCTTGCGACAGATAGTCTCCGCTGGGTTTATGGACAGTAACTAGGACGTAGTCGGACTCCTCTATCTCCCCCTTCCTGAGTGAGGTGGTGATGAGCGAGCCGGGCATGACAATGGCCTCGTCTTCTGCGCTGTCCAGCATGTGTGTCTCCAGCAGTTCTGAGCAGCGGATGAAATATGTGAGGACATAGAGGAGCCTCTGAACCAGCTCCTGTCTGCGACCAACCACCACTGTCCTAGACAGCCGCACTGGTGACCCTATGGCCCCGTAAAGGTCCCCTGCAAACAGGGACAGAAAGGAGAAAAATCAGGACTTTTGCAGCCTTATTGCCAAAACTGAAGATTTAAAAGTTTTCTTGACAAGTCTGCACATTATTGTCTATACCTCGTTTTTATTTCTAAAACTACCATGACCTGCAATTCCTAGTTGTAAACACTAGATGTCACCATCACCGCCTTTTTCAGATGTGTCATCATACTCAAGCCCCTTCATTACTTATTAAATATTCCTTTCTAGATGATTTTATTAATTACCCAATGATTTTCATCTATAAGCAGCATAGTTGTAGAAAAACAGAACTGCAGATTTCAATCAGTGCAAATTGCTTCACTGCAAAGCAAATCCACATGAATAAAAAAAATAAATAGATAAAGAGGGGTCCAACCAGCATCTAATTGTGATTGTTATTGTAACTGTGCTGTTTACTTATCAAAATCGTGCTATGTCTAATTGTAAAGATCAACAGCACACACACACACACACACACACACACACACACAC